CTCAGTTGTGTCCTACTATTTGAGACCCCATGGACTGTAGCCTGCCAGACTCCTCTGTCCATGGAATTCTCCAGGCAAGAATACTGGAGTGGGTAGCCATTCCCTTCTCCAGGGGAATCTTCCTAACCCAGGGATCAAACCCACATCTCCTGCATTGCAGGCAGATATCTAGAGCCACCAGGGAAGCCCTATTTAATGCCTACTCAATGCTAAATAGAAGCAATTATAAAGCCATAACAATCAGGTTATAGAAAAGAACATTTAGTATGACCCCATTTTTTGTTTCAAGGTATATGTATTTAATATGTATAATGATTATATATAGAAAAATGACTAGAAAGTTGCACATCAAAATATGAATAGTGGTAAACAATGAGTTTTTTCTTATAGTTTGATTTTCTTAAAAAGTCTGTAAGAATTATGCACCATTTTTGTTAAAAAATTACCTTCAGCCACATATAGAATTTTATAATGAAATGATATTGCTCACAATATGTCAAAGCACAGGCTATGAAATTGATATTTTTGTGTATGATCCCAGTTCAGAGAAAGCATGCAGAGGCAAAAGAAAAAGATACATCTAAAAGTGATACTGTGTGACCACATAGAATTTCTGTTTAATTCATTTTGTGTAAGTATTTTCTAAACTCCTTCATAGTACTACTTTTTCAATAATAAATCATAATGAAAGCTTTTTGTTTGTCTCATTTTAAGAAGAATGAGCCAGGTTTCCCAGTGGTTAGGACTCTGATCTCTCACTGTGGAGGCCCCGGGTTCAGTAGCTGGTTGGGGAACTAAGATTCCACAAGCTGTGTAGTATGGTCAAAAAAAAAAAGAAGAAGAATGCCAAAAGCCTATTGCTTACTTAAACTTTCAGAGGACTCTATGCATCTTGCTCATGGCTTAATCTCTGGCACCTAGAAGTGCTCTACTCACAGGATGCATTCAATAATTATTTATAGAAAAAATGAAAGAGTAAACAAATGAATTGATGAGTAAATGAGTGAACTGATGAATAAACAGGTGGAAGGGATAGAGCACAACACTTGGTCTCCAATATTTATTTGTCCTTCTCTGTCTGTTTCCTTCTCTATCCATTACAGTCTAAAGGGCATAATTTCCATGGATGAGAAGAAATTGAAGCCCAAGATGGGTAGGAGATTGTACAGTGTTTCATTCCTTGACTTGGATGAAGTCCTTTCCAGCAGCCCAGACACTTTACAGACTGATCATCTTTGTGGATTCTTAGGAGACAGGGAGGTTGTAGGATATAAGATGAACAAACAGCGACCGAGTTCCCAAAAAAGGAAGTGGAAAGAAGACGGATTCCATGAACTTGAGAGGGGTCATCCACCTCTGTCATGGGCAAGAGTCTAAGCCTTTGCAGTTCTTGGTAAGAAATGCTTTGTTGGCACTTTGAAAAGGAAGTGTACACTGCAAGTCATCATGGGTGCAGCTAAGGCAAGTGAGGCTGGACCAACTTCACTTCCTTCTCTGGCAGCAATGAACTGCTGAGGAACTCTGGGCTAGAAAAAGCTGTGAGCAAAGGCTCTGGTCTCCAGCATTTAATGCATTTTCTCCAGCTGGGAAAACAGTAAAACTCAGGAAACTAGTGTAGTGTCTACTGTGGGCTGGCACATTATTCCATGTGCCAGTGCAAAAAAAAAAAAACTTTACCCCCCCAAAAGTTACCCAGCCTTAATCCTCCCCATTCCTGCCTCACTCCAGCCCTTCTTTTCTGAGTAGAGAAGTAGGGTCAGTTATGCAAGAATAAAGCTTCAGGAGGCGGGTGCATGCTCCTTACAAAAGCATGGAAGGGAGAAAACTGAGTGTTACCAGGAACTTAGATTCAAGAGCTGAGGACTTGGCACAGGGACACAAGTGATGATATGAATGAATCAGCTTCTCCCCTCCTCCTGCCCACGTGTGTCCCCCACCTCCCCCACATCTGATGCCTCACCAAGAGGCAAAGGCCAGTGTCGGCCACCTGCCCCACCCTGGTGCACATCCAGGAGCCCACAGTCAGCAGGGAGGACAAAGGCAGCCGTCAGAGGCACCCACTACATGCATCTCCATCTCTCTGAACTTACAAAGAATGGGGAGAGGCCCTGCTCTCCCCTGGGCTCTGGTTTGCTGGGCAAAATCAGGCAGCTCAGACCCTCTCCATCCACCTACAGGGGGGAGAATGAAGTCTCAGGGGAAGGAATCCACAGTCTTCTCTTCCTGCTTTCCCTTAAAGCAACTGACAAGCGTTCTTGTTACATCCACCCACCTGTTCTCCGGGATACAGCTACCTTCAGGGCCCACATGGATGAAATGGAAAGTGAACTGTCGAGTGACCGGACACAAAGGACCTGGACAATGGCCCTCACCTCCCTTCTCTTCAGTCACCTGCTCGTCTGTCTATTCCTCAAATGTCCCAAGCCCATTCCTCCTCTAGGTCTTGGCCTTGCTGGTCCCACTCCTAGGACACACCTCCCCCAATCTCCCCCGAGCAAGTCCAACTCATCTTCAACAAACCAGCCCCAGCGGAAGTGACACTCCCTCTGTAGAGGCTCCCCTCCACTCAACCCTCGGGTCTATCAGAACACCTTGGTTTATCCTCTTCCTAACTTTGAATTCCATCTCCTACTCCCTGTTTGTCTGATTCTCCACTATAATTTGAGCATCTAAAAAGCAGAAACCTTCTTTTCTTGTCTCTCTCAGTATCGCCAGGTTGTAGAAAGAATCTGGCATGCAGAAGAAGTTCAATAAAGATCAGTTCAGTTCAGTCACTCAGTTGTGTCTGACTCTTTGAGATCCCATAGACTGCAGAAAACCAGTCTTCCCTATCCATCACCAACTCCCAGAGCTTGCTCAGACTCAAGTCCATCGAGTCAGTGATACCATCATCCCCTTCTCCTCCTGCCTTCAATTTTTCCCAGCATCAGGGTCTTTTCCAAGGAGTCAGTTCTTTGCATCAGGTGGCCAAAGTATTGCAGTTTCAGCTTTAGCATCAGTCCTTCCAATGAACATTCAGGACTGATTTCATTTAGGATGGACTAGTTGGATCTCCTTGCAGTCCAAGGGACTCTCAAGAGTCTCCTCCAACACCACAGTTCAAAAGCATCAATTTTTTGGCACTCAGCTTTCTTTATGGTCCAACTCTCACATCCATACATAACTAGTGGAAAAATCATAGCTTTGACTAGATGAACCTTTGTTGGCAAATAATGTCTCTGCTTTTTAATAAGCTGTCTAGGTTGGTCATAACTAGGTTGGTCATAACTTTTCTTCCAAGGAGTAAGCGCCTTTTTATTTCATGGCTGCAGTCACCATCTGCAGTGATTTTGGAGCCCAAAAAATAGTCTTTCACTCTTTCCACTGTTTCCCCATCTATTTGCCATGAAGTGATGGGACCAGATGCCATGATCTTAGTTTTCTGACTGTTGAGCTTTAAGCCAACTTTTTCACTCTCCTCTTTCACTTTCATCAAGAGGCTCTTTAGTTCTTTTTCTCTTTCTGCCATAAGGGTGGTGTCATCTGCATATCTGAGGTTATTGATATTTCTTCTGGAATCTTGATTCCAGCTTGTGCTTCCTCCAGTCCAGCATTTCTCATGATGTACTCTGCATATAAGTTAAATAAGCAGGGTGACAATATACAGCCTTGACATACTCCTTTTCCTATTTGGAACCAGTCTGTTGTTCCATGTCCAGTTCTAACTGTTGCTTCCTGACCTGAATAAAGATTTCTCAAGAGGCAGGTCTCAGGTGGTCTGGTATTCCCATCTCTTTCAGAATTTTCTGGTTTATTGTGATCCACACAGTCAAAGGCTTTGGCGTAGTCAATAAAGCAGAAGTAGATGTTTTTCTGGAATTCTCTTGCTTTTTCGATGATCCAGCAGATGTTGGCAATTTGATCTCTGGTTCCTCTGCCTTTTCTAAAACCAGCTTGAACATCTGGAAGTTCACGGTTCACATATTGCTGAAGCTTTGTTTGGAGAATTTTAAGCATCACTTTTTTAGCATGTGAGATAAGTACAGTTGTGCAGTAGTTTGAGCACTCCTTGGCATTGCCTTTCTTTGGGATTGGAATGAAAACTGACCTTTTCCAGTCCTGTGGCCACTGCGGAGTTTTCCAAATTTGCTGGAACCCTCTTATCCAGGCAAACCAGGGTGGTTGGCACCTACCGTCTCAGTCACTAAACCATCCTGACATCCTGAGCACACCCCCTGCAGCACACACTTAGGGTGACAAGACACAACTGTATTCTGTGGACAACACTGCCCTGCCTCTGGCTGGACAGAAGAAACTGTCCCTCAGTCTTGTTCTGGAGGCTGGCCTGGCTGAGCAGAGGGCCCAGACCCCTGCCTGGGTAGCTAAGGGTCTGATGAAGCTCCGTGGGCTGGGCAGGGGGCAGGGCCCTTCTGTTCCACGTAGGTGAAGGTTTCCAGTCCATCCTTGCTGGTGAGGCCCAGCCGTCCCAGGACCCCCCTGGACCGTGCTCCTCTCCCCAGCCCCCATCAGGCCTGGACGTTGTGCTCAGGGTAAACCCTGCACTCACCCCCACATCCCTCTCCTGACGTCCAGCCAGTTGATTCTGAGACAGTCACCCGGCCTCCGAGCTCACGGTCCACACCTGAGGTCGGACTCACCAAGGGGGCTTAACCAGGCTCCCAGGGGAGACCAGGAGAGGGGGCCTGTTTCTGACACAGCTCCTGGTCTCCGGGCCTCCCCCCCCACCACCCTCAAGATACCAGTCAAACGCGAAAGCCAGGGTCATTCTCTGCCTTCCTCTTTTCTTTGCCTAAATTGACTGAGTTCTCATAATTTACATATGTCAATGGTCACAATTCCAAAGAATCAAAACTGCCACGCAACCTTAAATTTTTGGATCTTGTGACTTCCTGAGCAGCCGTCTCTTATAAAGGAGGCTCACAGCCCAGATTTCAAGGAGCCAGAGAACCCAGGAGTCCTCAGCCCAGCCCTGTTCCTGTTGCTGGTCGGCACCCAGAACGATGAGGGTCAGCCTGGCTACCCTGGCCTTCCTCCTCACTCTTGCCGTCCTGCACTCGGAGGCTAATGAAGGTGAGAGCGGCTACTCATTGCTCTGAACAAAGAGAACACAGGGGCTGGAGACTGAAGGTGGGGGTGGGCAGGGTCGGGGGCTGCAGTGAGGAGGTGTGTGTGGTCTGGAAAACATGGTCTGGGGTTCCTGCCAAACAGACAGTGTCTTTCCCAAGGGTGTCTTCCCATTTCTGGTCGGGGCTCACTTCTGCTTCCCCCGGGCTGGGGAAAACCTGCCTCTGAAAACAGCCTTCCTGGCCTTTGGTCCCAGCCTCGAGAAACTGACCCAGAGCACTTTGGGTGTCTGCTCAGCTGCGTCCAGGCAGGAGCAGAATCTGAGCGAGAGGAAGCCACAAAGGTTCACGCTCTCTTCACGGCCTAGATGGGGTCTGACCATATTTGGATGGTTGCCAACATTGAAAAACTGGAAACATTAAAAACCCCTATTGCCCATTTCTAGGACTGCCATTTGACATCCTGCTAGTTCAATGGATGATGGCTAGTTTCCAGGAATTTTGACTGTGAAAGAGCTTTTCACTGCTTTTCAATAATTTCGGTTATTGTCATATGACTTCTCATCTGCAAACGGGATCAGTGATAACTTCTCAAAGGGTAGTTGTGAGGAAGGGAGATGAGCCACATCAGGAACGAAGCCAGGCACCAGGCCTGTAGTAGAGTCTCAGCGCGTATCTGCCTCAACTCATGAGGGTGTTACCTTCCGATAAACGCACCAGAAATGGAAAATACTGGAAGTTGAAAACGCATACCATGCACCGAACCTCTCAGACACCATAGCTTAGCCTCGCCCATCTCAAAGAAGCTCAGAATTCACCTTAGCCAACAGTTGGGGAACATCATCCAACACAAGCGTATTTTATGATGGAATGCTGTCTAGCACAGGTTATGTTTTTGAACACTGTACTGAAAACAACCCACAGCATGGCTGTCTGGGTCCAGACTGGTGGTAAGTGCATCAGTGTTGACCCTGGTGATCTCATGCCCGACCCAGAGCTGCAGCTGCTCTACACAGCATCTCAAAAGAGAATCTATCCTGTATATACATAAAAAGCCGACTCTGTGCCACTCTCTCAGGCAACACGCTGGAACGCACTGGGGGCAGAGGCAGATCATCTCTCCCCGGGAGCCTGGGTCTGGAAGCTCTGCTCTGGCCAGCTTGTGACCTGTGTCTTGTCTAGTTTTCCTGACCCACAGCTTCCTCATCTGTTCTGTGGGGGTAATAAGGCCTTTATTGCACAAAATAATCATCAGTATAAAAATCAATTTGCACAGTAATTGCTGCAAGGCTATTATTTGCATTTCAAGGACGATGGTTCGATAAGGGTGGGTGTCCAGCCTGGAGTCACACAGCTTTCAGGAGAAACAAGGACAAGTTGAACTTTCAAGCCTCCTAGCCAAGGCCCTGCTCCTCTGAGCTGAGCAAACTTCTCGCTTCTAGCAGCACCCCCACCCCTACCCAGACCTGTGAGAGAGGGTCCTCTCAGATGCAGGGAACAGTCCCACCCTGCTGTGGCCCACCCTGTACATCCACTAGCATTTTCATGTGGGAATTCTTCTCAGCATTTCTCAGGAAATTATATGCTTTTCCTAAATTCCAAGTCCCAAGAAAACTCAGTTGAGCAATTGGGGAAAATGGGCAAAAGTACTCTAATTCTCTTGATGGAATAAAGCTTAACATTCAACAGAGCGATGTCACTGACTTAAAGGAATTTGCTGACATCAGGTGTGAAAGCAGGAAACATTTGTCACATGGAGTTAAGGTTAAGATCAGCATGTGGGGGGATGCGGACTGGAGCACAAACGGGAGAAGTGGTCTTGATCCAGCTTCTTGAGACAATTGCCCTGTTACACATGGGAGTTCACAGCTCTGTCTGCTGCTAAGAAATGCTAATAAGTTTGTAAAATTCATACACTTTCACAATCACTCAGCTGTGTCTGACTCTTTGCGACCCCATGGACTGTAGCCCACAGGCTCCTCTGTCCATGGGAATTCTCCAGCCAAGAATACTGGGGTGGGTTACCATGCCCTCCTCCACAGGATAGTCCCAACCCAGGGATTGAACCCAGGTCTCCTGCATTGCAGGAGGATTCTTTACCATCTGAACCACCAAGGAAGCCCAATAACATAAGAGGAAATACACAGAGAAAATGCATAAATGAAACCAGAAATATTTGCTAATGTTTATATAAAATCTAAATTAGCTGAAGCAGGGGACTTCCCCAGTGGTCCAGTGGTTAAGACTGCACACTTTCAATGCAAGGGACACAGGTTTGATCCCTGGTCCAGGAACTGAGATTCCACGTGTTGTGTGGCCAGAGAGCAATATCAATTTGAATGAGAAAAACAAATTCAGGAGAAGCAGACTAGATATGTCCATCATTAAAATAGGAAATTAGCTCATATGAAGGAAGCATTTAGTACCCAAACTCCAACTGAATATGCATTTAGACATACTTTCAACAGTTGAGCCAATCCAGTATGGAAAAAATGTTCTATGGAATATTTGCTACAAAACAAAGGGAAAGACTACAAGCAGTTTGCAATTGATGCTGCCTGTGTTTCAAATTTTTATTTTTGAATGAGAACTTTAAATATTTTAAATAGTTGTTGCACCTTTTTTGGTTTTTAAATGATTTTCACTGGTCTTTTATTTTGTGTTAATGTTCCCATCTTTTCATGTTTTTTATTATCAACTCTCTTTAGCTGCTGGAGAACATTAGATATGTTACTGAGTTTGTAAGCTTGTCACCATACATAGAAACATCCCTTATTGTTACTTTGAATTTATTTTTATAGAAAACCTTTTTTTGGAAAAAAAAACAAAAACAAAAACTTCATAAAAAATGATTCCCTGTTTACTGTGTAGTCACATTATTTTTAAAACATGAGAATAAATATATTTTTTTATATATAAAAAAAAATCACCGAACACAGCATTGTAAATAAACTATACTTTGAAATAAAATAAAACCTTAAAAATGAAAAAAAAATTTAACATGGAGTACAACCTAAAATGATTTATATCTCATTTTTTAAAAAGATGAATATAGAATAATTTATGGTCTGAGAATTTTCAGGAATTCTGATTTCTTATTCCCGAATCCTGAGGACAACCAGAAATTTGAAACACTAGGACCACAGAGTCCCATCCCAGCCCTGGATGGGGTCTGGGAGAAGAGATTGGGAGGGGCTGGAGAGGCAGACAGAGGGAGGAAAGGACTTAGAGGAGGAAATTTAAGTGGGGATAAGGGGTGTTTGGGGGGTTCCCTGCAAAGGAGCCTCCCTCATCATTCAGTAGTTAAGACTCTGTGCTGCCAATGCAGGGGCCACTGGTTCTATCCCTGGTCAAGGAACCCAGATCCCACATGCAGTGTGGCTTAGCCAAAAGATTTTTTTAAAGGTGGAAGGAGGAGGGAGACCAGGTCATTTCCTGCCAGGTGCTCCCATCTCCTGTCTCCCTCCCTTCCTCAAGGGCTGTGGGGGTGCAGATAGAGGTCTAAGCTTTCTCATGGAGAAGCTTCCAGCATCTTACAGTCCTCTACCTTGCAGAAACAACTGATAACCTGCATGCCTGCTGTTTTGCCTTCACAACAAGGACAATCCCACGCGCTCATGTGGAAAATTATCAAAGGACCAGTGACATGTGCCCCCAGCCAGGGGTCATGTAAGTACAGCCCCCCAACAATGGAAAGGGTGCGATCTCAAGAACCAGTAGGGCTGGGAGGCGGGGGCAGGGGGGCGGGGCTCTCTAGGAACAGAGACACGAGTTGGGTGGGGGGGTGACACTGAGGAGCTGCTGATGGGGGCGGCGGGAGAGGCTGGGGTGGCGGGGTGGACCCTTCTTTGCCTGCTGACTCTCCGTTTCTCATCTTCTCCTTGCTCCTCAGCTTCCAGACCAGAGGTGGGCGATCGATCTGTGCCAACCCAGGCCAGGCCTGGGTGCAGAGGTACATCATATACCTGAACCAAAAGTCCAAGGGAGCTGGGAGCAGTGGGACCTTCACAGTCAAGGGATCATGAGAAGAGGCCACAGAGCCACCTCCCCTCCCCAACCAGCTCCCTCAGCCCAGATGGGCCCTGGGCGAGTCCTGGCCCGAATGAAAGCCCGTGTGTGCGTCTCCCTGCTCCTGCTCTGGTGGTCTGCGCTCTCCTGAAGCTTTGCTGTGAAGCTCCACCTTCTGGGGCCAGAAGCGACTGTGGCCCCTGGAAAGCATCTGTCGTCTCCTTGCAGGCGCTCAGGTCTTGAAATAAATCTGTGCTGCAGAAAGGGACTGGTAGCTTAAATTGGTTCTCTCCATGACAGCCTGGTCATTTCTTTGATTTTATAGACATTTCTATGGTATTTACTGCATATCCGGGGCCTTGTAAACATTTCAAAAGGAGTAGACATAAATAGTGGAATGATGGGGACATAGTTAGAATCAGGGGGATGAACAGCGACCCCAGTTCAGGGTCCTTAGATAAGAGGACCAGTGTGAATACAGACGACCATGGGGAGACCCTCTGTTTGCATGTGCAGAACTGAGGTGCACTCCAAACACACCTCCTCACTTCCTCGTCCAAGTGGGCGGTGCGGCTCACCCTTGCTAGAAAGCTCGTCCCCGGGTCTCTGCCATTCAAAGCATTTACTTCTCTGTCCACCTGTCAACCTCCTTGTGCTCCTCCTTCAAATCTGTGCTCTCCCCCCAAATCGGTGCTCCCTCCCCAATCCATGCACCCCAACAGTGAAGTCCTACAGTCTCTTTAGATCCTGCCTGGCCCTTATCCTTGACACCTGGGGTAAAGGTGACCTTGGAAATGCAGCCATCCTCTCCACTCCATCCTCCCCACCACCTCCTCAACTAAGGACAGAGGCAGGTACAGGGCAGTGCTCTGTGGGCGTGAGGGGGAAAGGGAGGCAGGCAGGAGGCGGAGGCTGATCTCAGTCTGGCCGTGCTTCCCTGGACTCAGACTGCAGAAGGGCCTCAGGGACACCAGGGTGGCCCAGCGCACGCCCTCCAACTCAGTCCTTGGGGAAGGCACGCCGTGGCTGTGGGCCTCGACCCTAAACTCCCGTGGAGGAAGGATGCTCTTCGACACCAGAGGTCAGAGGTCTCTGTACATCCATGAGTTTAGTGGTGGGGAGTGGACGACCACCTACTGTCAGGGGCAAAGTCGGGAAATGAGCACAGTCTGTGCTCGGAGCCCACAGCTGCCCTGGTCAAGGCCATTTCCTCACCTGGCAGCCCCCTCCTCTTGCAAACTCCATCCTTAGCGCCTCTGTGCTCTTGCACACAAATCCCATCGAAAAACCAGTTCTCTGCTCCTCCATCTGCACTCAAATGGGATGGGAGCCCAAATCTCAAAGCCAAAGGGACTGGAGTGAGTGAGGAGGTGGGGAGACCTGGGGTCTCCGGGAAGGATGGGCGGGAGTGCAGGGGCGAAGGGGCGGGGAGGGGGTGGGCACAGAAGGGGCTCCTGACGACCTCTGCAGAACGGGCTCCACAGAGTGGCGTACTGCGGCCGTTCACCCCCGCTGCCAGGCAGGTTGGCTCTCCTCCTGGGTGACTGGGGTGCTCGGGCCTGCGGGGAGCTGGGTGGATACCGAGCGTCCCCTGAATGTGGAGCTATAACTGCCGCGGCTGCCCTCCTTCCCTGAGTCCCCCTCCTCAGGAATGGAACCTCCATCCTCCAAGCTGCTCCAGATGAAAACAGGAAGTCATCCTTGAAACACTCGCCCTGATCCATCCATCCGATCTATCAACAAATCCTGTCTATCAATAAATCCTGTCAACTCTCTCAAAACCTCTCTCAATTCCAGCCACTTTGGCTTCTCCACCACTACCCCCGTCCAAGCTCTCATCCACATGACCTCAGGATGTGCCTCAGAAGCGGATGAGAGCTTGGTCGGTGTGCAGAATCCAACCAGGCACCTGGAGTCAAGGCTGAGCATCAGGAAGGTGCTCACGGGCATTCAGAACTGAATTATGTGGGAAGCAATTGCTGCAGGGCATCTGCTGTAACCTTAGAAACAGATGCAAGATTCCATCCACACAGATAGATCACAGAGAATTATAGAAGAATCTAAAGGATGGATGGATTGGTTTCAAGCATCTTTAGTGCCAGAGGGAAGGGTAATAAATGTCCTGAAAGAGCTGAAGACATGAAAAAAGTCAAGAATGGCTGTTAGGAATGTTTGCAACACCCTCAGTGAAGGTGCTGGCTTCTGTCTACACAAGTCACACGAAGAAGCACTCAAGGGTCTAATCAGAACTTAGAAGACACCAACCCTATTTAAAAGACGTGAATTTCAAGCCTCCTGTTGCCATTTTGAGTATTAAAGTAGAGTTCCGTGTACCCAGTCATGGCGGAGAGAATCACACTTGAAGCGCACAAACCCAGGTCAGAAGTCCGTTTTGGCCAATAAGCACCCTCCAGTGCTGGGATGATGATCTGGTGGAGACTATATAAAACTGGCCCAGTAATCTCAATTTGCGTAAGGTAATAACACAACACCTTAGTGGGTAACCCTCACAAAGGTGGTAATTAAACATAGAAAGATGTGGGGACTAAAGGACTAAAGACATGAACAAAGTCTAGCATAGCCGTTAGGAATGTTTGCTACAGCCAGAGTGAAGGTGCTGGCTTCTGTCTACACTGGTCACACAGAAGGATCACTGGAGTGTCTAGTTAGAACCTAGACGATACCAACCGTTTTTTGTTTTGTTGGATTGTGGTTTTCTTTCTTTCTTTTTTTTTTTTCTGTAGTGCTGCACAGTACCTGGTCCCCTCCAGTGGGAGCACAGAGTCAACTACTGGACTGCCAGGGAAGTCCCCAAAACCAACGCTTTTTAAAAGATGTGAATCCCAAGCCTCCTGTTGTCATTTTGACTATTAAAGTAGAGCTGCGTGTACCCAGTCATAGTGTAGAGATGATCACACTGGAAATGCACAGGCCTGACTCTCAGGTCTCTGTTGGCCAATAAGCACCCCCCAAAGCTAGGTTAATAGGGACTGGGGGAGATTGCAGCAATGTAGAATGGACACGCCCCTTCCAAATGGGCATGTGTTCCAGTAACTGGCTAAATGGGAAGAGAGTGTGCAGAATTAAGGACCTACAGTCCTGTCCATGGAAATCGGATTCATTCCCTTTAAGAAACCTGACGCCACAAGGCTTCCCTTGTAGCTCAGTTGGTAAAGAATCTGCCTGCAATGCAGGAGACACAGGTTTGATTACTGGGTCGAGAAGATCCCCTGGAGAAGGAAATGGCAACCCACTTCAGCATTCTTGCCTGGAGAATCCCCGTGGACAGAGGATCCTGGCAAGTTACAGTCTATGGGGTCGCAAGAGTTGGAAACGACTTAGTGACTAAACCACCACCAATGCTAGGATGGTGATCTGGTGGCAATCACATAAAATTAGCCAAGTAATCTCAATTTCATAAGATAACTCTGTAAGTTAAGAGTTACAGAGTTAACCGGTAAGCCTCCAGAAGCTTACAATTAAACATAGATAGTATAGTGTAAATCAGGCCAGGAATATTAATATTCATATGCAAAGATGAGTTATGGATTTGTAATCATTGGAACCATCTATATAATTTGGAACTTAGAGCACTTATAATACATTTTTAAATGATCTCTTGGAGTACATAACAGATTATTCATGTGATTCCAGTATTAAATGTGTAATTAAATAATTTATTTGTGCTTGTGACTTTGAGCTGAGAGATAGATAAAAGAGAATTTTCCTAAGTTAACAAAGAACATTGGAGTATTTAACACAACTTGATTTTCCCATAGTCATAAGTTTAATTTGCTGTGTTTATAGGAGTGAAGTGCTTTGGAAGATTCTGAGTGATAGATTGGGCATGGAGAATACTCTTAAAAATTTAATGTGCAAAGTCGCTTCTGTTGTGTCAGACTCTGTGACCCCATGTAGCCCACTAGGCTAAACTGTCCATGGGATTTCCCAAGCACGAATACTGGAGTGGATTGCCATTCCCTCCTCCAGGGGATCTTTCCCACCCAGGGACCAAACCCAAGTCTCTTACATCTCCTGCATTGGCAGGCAGGTTCTTTACCACTAGAACAAACTGGGAAGCCTAAAATCCAGTATATTAAATTAATTAAAGCAGCTTAAATTATTTACAAAAATTTAATCCATGAAGTTTTAAACAGGACTGATTGTTTAAGGCTTGTCTATTCTACTTAATTAAGCATTCATCAAGGACTTAAATTTTGCTAGTTTTATAAGTAGGATAAGATGGGTGAGACATGGGAAGTTATATTTTTAATTTGTTGCTCTACTGAATATTCATTTAAAAATCAAAGTAACTGCAATAGCTTCCTCACACAAAACTTTACCTGCGGACATGAAAAAAACCTCACACGGATTGAAGTCATCCTCATCTCTTGCCCTGATGACCAAAATATGCTCTACTCAATCTCTCCACTTCTATTCTTCCTGTATGCCCTCCATTCTCCACTACAGCCACCTGAAAATCCTCCATACCTTCCCTTTATATACAGAATCAAACTCAAAATCTTTATAAGCATGTCCTGCCAAATGCCCCCTAACTGGGACCCTGCCTGTCTCCTGAGGCTCAGCCTGCTCCCTCATCTTGATGCTCCAGCCACACAGACCATCTTTTGTCACCTCAAATACACAAACCTCATTTTTTGCCTTGGGGCCTTTGCTTATGCTATTCCCCCTTTCCCAAGGCTTCTATTCCACCCTCTCTTAGCTAGCCAACTCTCATTCATCCTTTAGGTCTCAGCTAAAGACTCTTCTTAGAGCAGCCTTGTGTTAACCCCTAGTATAAGTTTGGTCTCCAGTGACATAGGTTCATAAACATCCCAGAAATAACCCGTTATAGCTCTCACCACAACTTGTAATTCTGTCTTTATTATATGATACTATTTCGTTAATGGCTTTCTCCCTCGTAAGACAGTTACATGAGGCCAAGTAGCATTGAGTAGGTGAATTAGGAGAGGCAAACTCTTGCTGATGGCCCAGACAGCATCTCCCAGCCCTGCATTTGCTGTGAAATTCTCCGGTGGTTCAGTGGTAAAGACTCTGCACTCTCGCTGCCAAGGGCTTGGGGTTCAGTCCCTGGTTGGGGAACTAAGACTCCACAAGCCATGTGGTGCAGCCAAAAACAAAAAATAAAGTATAATTTTTTAATGGGCTGGATCAGTAGGTTTCTATCAGACTTCCAGGTTAGGTGTCTCCAACCTATGGTCTGGGAGCTAAATCCAGCTGCTGCCTGTTTGTAAATAAAGTTTTATTGGAACACAGTCATGATCATTTGTTTTCATGTGGCTTTTGACTGCTTTTGATCTACAAACAAGAGCTGGGCAGGTATGACAGAGACTTTGTGGGGCCCACTCTCCTCTTTCACTGTCATCAAGAGGCTTTTTAGTTCTTCTTTGCTTTCTGCCATAAGGATCGTATTATCTGCATATCTGAGGTTATTGATATTTCTCCCAGCAATCTTGATCCCAGCTTGTGCTTCATCCAGCCTGGCATTTCACGTGATGTGTTTTGCATATAAGTTAAGTAAGCAGGGTGACAATATACAGCCTTGACGTACTCCTTTCCCAATTTGGAACCAGTCTGTTGTTCCATGTCCAGTTCTAACTGTTGCCTCTTGACCTACATACAGATTTCTCAGGAGGCAGGTCAAGTGGTCAGGTAAATGGTATTCCCATCTCCTTAAGAATTTCCCACAGTTTGTTGTGATCTACAATGTGGACACACCCAAAACATGCCTCACCTTTTGTCATTCCCACACCTTTGCCTGAAAGGGTGAGCTCTAGTATCAGAAGACCTCAGTTTGAATCCCAGCTTTGCCCCCTGTGAGCATTACGTCATAGCTCTGCGCCTCTGTATCCTCATCTGTAAAAGGGGATGACCCTACCAATGTCACAGGGCTGCAGTAAGGAAATAATTGTAAATATTTTCAAAATAGTAAGTGCTTCCTGTCTTAGGACAACTATTACCCCTGTTGGCAGTTACCTTTGAGTAGAATGTTGTTCTGTCTTTCTCTGCATTTTAAAATCGAATACAGTCTCAGTCTAATATTTGAGACCCAGGCCAAATACCATCCCTTTCATGAATTTTTCTCTGCATTCTAATCTAAGGAGTTCTCTCTTGCTTCCCTCTGAAATTCTCACTGAACACTGAGGCCCCACAGCTCTGGACAGCAGGGACTTTCTCAGTTCTCTTCATCTCTACCCCAACTAGAATAAAAGCATCTTTACTAATACTTACAGTAATCCTTCTTAACAAGGATTTGTTTAATTAAAAGAAATAAGCCTAAATCTCCTAACAAAGAAAATCTCTGATACAAATAGCATCACTGGTGATGTCTACCAAACACTTAAAGAATTAACACACCAAACTCTTCCAAAAGACAAAAGAGGAAGGACTACCTCCTAATTCATTCTATGAAGGCAGCATTACCCTGATCTCTGAACATATTTTCACATAAAAACTTGTACATGAATAATGTTTATAGTAGCACTATTCTTAATACCCACAAATTATGAAACAACCCAAATGTCCATCAGGTGATGAATGGATATACAATATGAGATATAGCCATACAGTGGAATATTATTCAGCCTTCAAAAGGAGCGAAGCACTGATCCATGTTACAGTATGGAAGAACCTTGAAAACATTATGTTAAATGAAAGGAGCCAGACACAAAAGGCAACATATAGAATGACTCCCTTTACACAT